TTGTAATTCGGCATGAAACTGCTTTTGAACATACTACTTGATACAAGCTAGCATCAGGAGTTTTCTTTAACAAACTTTGAGGCGACTCATCCTGCAGGTTGACTCATTCACTGCCAACGGGTGCGCATCCAACCCTTTGGTTTCTTAGATTCATTCCGAAGTAAACCTCTTTCTCTCCTCGTCTAATTTTGTGAACGGGGATTTCATGGTCGATTGGTTCAACGAGAATATACCTTTACACCCCTTGACTACACTAACATAATAGCCGTGGAAAATACAACATGGAGAAATTTACTGACATATCACAACTTTTTGCCTAAGCTAGTTGCGAAATCGGTTGTATTTCTTGACAGCATGGCCGCAAGATAATTAAAGCGCTGGTTACGAATTCAGCTAAAACGTCCTCTAAAAGTGACTATGTGAAAATATTCACGTGTACATGGCGCGCACCTTTGAAGGTCCGTAACATATATCCCAGTCCCATAGCTTCGATAAGTGGCGCAGATAAGAGTAAACTACACATATAATTTACCTCTAAGGAAAAGATAATCAATTAGCATTGAGGATGTAAAGAGTATTGAGGCAGCCAGATTGGTTGGATTGTGTCGGAGGCATAGCCTGGGGTACGGGTATTGTGGTCTGCCTCGAGCGGCACATGGACGGGGGAGGCATTTTTGGTACCGTTGATTGTTCCATACCAACTATAAAATACAAACTATCCAGAAAGGCTGAGGTTAGCATATTATAATGTAACTCTGTATGACCAACAGCACCTTTACGCCATGTGTCACAACTGGGCAACTGATTTTCCTAGCGATCCCTTTACTAGTCCCACTGCGGTTACTTTCACCAATTTTAACTCAGTGTCCCAAATGATCATTCATTCCATCGAGAATTACGGTGTACTTTGCCCCCAGTCAATTTTAGGGGGTTACGGATTTACAGCTGTCAGGGGAGGGGTGAAATCTTGCCATCCCCCCAAGCAGTAACACTAGATACTAAGTCACTGGATTGTGTATACAACATTTGTGATGATTGAGTGGACACTTATGACTTGTCGTAGTCAAAAGAGGAATGCAACTGCAAAGTTGAACCAAGAATGCTTTGCAATTGTAATACGCTTTCATAGTATGCATACATGTTGAATTGCATGACGACTTGATGGGTTGCACCCCTATTGGGGAAGATCACGTGGTATCCACCAACTCAGTACCATCGAAAGCAGTTACATAGTTCCTTTTCTTAATCGTTAAGTGACACAGGAGCACTTGCCAAGAACACAGCTTTCAGACGAATGTTTAGCATCTGTATCAAGCATCTGCCTCAACCAGCGCGCACATCTCTCCTTATCGTAGCTGCCCCTTAGAACGGAATACCCCAGCAATCCGTCCGCAGTCATTGCGCTTATTAGGTGCAAATTTTGTCTCCGACTGTTAGCCACCGTACAGTGTGCACGGGTGCCGCGTGACGATCGATTCCTTGTGCGTGCGCAGAACAGATTGAAGTTTGTCTCATCCATCCATACTGCTCGCCGTCCATCAGCCTCCATCCTCATCAGTGTTAGGAAGTAAACCTTCTTTACACTCTTGTTCTCTATGGTATTCACAGTTTGCGGTATTGAATGCAACAACTTCATGATCATGAGCCGACCGTCCAGGTAGCAAGCAATGGTGCTGACGCTTACCTCCACCTCGAACTCACCCTTCAGTCGTAACCAAAGAGTTTCCAACGTCACTGTTGGCTCCGATTCAACCCATTCAACAAAGCAATCGACGTGACTTCGACCTTCGACCTTCGGCACGGCACGGCAGCAGTACTTTTCGGCTCATTCAGTTCCAATTTTCTAATTCAACTGAGACAGGTCTTCAAGTCGTCGCCTTCCTCATAGGTCTTCAGTATAATGGCCTTCACGTCAGCCGGATGATGGATGCGCCTAAATCTTTGTTCCATCGCGATTAGCTTAAACTAAAGGTAACAAACCATGAAAAACTAATGAAAGACAAACCTTGCCTCGTTAAATGAATCCTTTGAAGCCGCTCGCTGTACACACATCTCTACGCAACGCGTGAGAAAACCAGAAGCGACAAGTTGGCTGACCAGATGGCGAATATGTTAGCATTAGTCATGTTCATGTTTATGTCTAACCTAGACCATCTCAATGGCACATTGGCTGTAGGCTTCCACTCCCGTACTCGAAGTTCCTTTGACGTTTGCTGATTCGGTATGCTGGTCAGCAGATAACGTTAGCCGGGCGTACGAGAACATTTGCAACATTTGAAGGCCAGCCGTGTCCGGCCCCTTTTGTAGTTTGAGCCTTCTCAGCCCCATTAGGTGATTGCATGATCAGGTGTAATGGCTTCTTAGGCGAGCCAGCAAGTCACCTCTCCGCTGCCACATCTGTTAGGGGTGGTTGTACAAGTGTGAGGCCCCATTCAGCATGACTCACCAGTTTTAGAGATCAAGTACACATGCACCACGGCCGTCTCAACTGACAACGTTCTCAAGCCTGACATAACGGGCCCTTGTCCGACACGTCCAGCCAGTCTTTCATATTTCGACGCCGGAAGGATTTTAACGTGTTGATCCACGCAGCACAAACGCGTCGGAGGTGGTGCACAGTAAGGCCAATTTCCCCGTCCCATATTCAGGGACTTAGCCGACTTGTAAACTCGTCCCATGTTGAAAGGCTGCATGTACCCAAACGCAACGCACAGATGTAAGTTGTGCGACGGTCTACAGTGTACGGTTTGCCAGACGTCAAAAACAATTTACGTTTCATTGAATTACTGGGTATGCTGAGTTTCGGCAGGCCAACTATTTCCATTTCATTGTTTATGCTGAAAAGCAGAAATCGAATTGCGTGCGAAGAATTTTCCGTTCCATGTGGCAGAGCAGAGTTGCTGGTGCGTTGCACAAAAGTGAGCGGTCTGGTCAGTTGAGCTGCACTAAAAATTACGAGTCGCAAGCACGTGTAGCACAATAGAATAACCACGCAAGATACACCAGCAGATAATCAGCTCCAAGGCAGATAAACCTTAACCCGGGTTTAGGGCTCCCACAAAAGGCTTGAACAATAGCACTGATTAACTGAACTTTGAGAGGACTTCACTGGAGGTCTAGGAAGTATACCGACAGCACTTTTGGTCACCGCTGCGATTGTGATTACACCGCTGGGACGTTACATTCAGAGGGTATTCACAGATCCGAGAGATGTCCGCAGGTACACACGTGGGCGGGCTAGACACGAAGTAAAAAAGTTGAGGGATCAGTGAAACTTCGCATTCATTGGTCCTAACGTAATTGCAGGGAAAGTTAAATGCTCCACCGACTGCTTTCAAAATGTAGACAGATTCAGCCGTTGTCAAATTTGATCTACACATGAATCGGTACGCAGCAATCGCGTACGGACACAACAACATCATAGCATGTGAGTAAGACATCAGTATAACCACGCAAGATGTACCTGCAGTTAATCACCTCGCAACAAACCGACTGTCTGTAAACTCCCAGCTGGATACATATTAAACCCTGTGTAGCTCACCTGCCAAACGCTTGAACAATAACACAAATTAACTGAACTCTGAGAG